CTGCTTCTCTTCTCTCATTACTTGTTTTGTGTCCTGAGTAGACAATTATGAGGTGTTTCTTGTATGAGTCATGTCTATTTCCTTGATCAATTGATATAACTGAGTCCTATCTTTGCCATATAAATATTTTTCAAAGAGGAATCTCCTTATAGAATGTTCATTCCAGTGAGTGCTGTTTAAAATTTGGCAAATAGCAAAAGAATAAGTAAATCACATCCCCATGACTGTGCCCTTGAAATATTTTATAGCACTCTCCTCATACCCCAAATCATAATTTTCTTGTTTGGGATGGATGATTCACATTAGCTGTAGGTCTTTGGAAAACTTCCTCTAATTGTTAAAAAAGAAATTCCTTCAAATATGAATTCTGTAGCAGCAGTAATGATCGTCCAATCACAGACTCCCAAATTTAAAACTGAAATGGTTTTTAAAGGTTATAAAACCCAGCCCTTTTATTTTATAGGTGATAAAATAGATTTCATTATCCCTCTGCAGCAGAGCTTCCCTTTAGCTATTATTAAAATATAGGAAGTGAATTCTAAATTATCCGCATTGAAAGGTTCACCTCCACTTCTAATGCGCTGGTCTGACTGCCATCATTTCTCACTTGAAGGACTCCAATAGCCTTCGAACTCTCCTCTCTTCTTCCTCCCTCATCCTTCTGTGTTCTTACCTCAGCACTTTTCAGACAACCTGTGATTGTGTTTCTCTTCTACCCACAGTTCTCCAGTGACATCTCATTTTACTCACAGTGACAACCAAAACCCTATCCATGGGCCTGTAAGGCTTATAGGAACTTGTAGTTCCATGCCCACATGCCAGGTGCCTGTCTGAAGTGCTCTCTCAGGGGCACCCCCATCTCTACTCTGCACCCGGAAACTGGCTGTTTGCTTCTCTAACACACCAAGCCCACTGTCAGAGGGGTTTGTGTGCTCAGTGCTGCCCCTGGAACACTGCTCCTGGACACTACCTTGAGTCATCTCCCACGTCCATGCTGAGTTCTCAATGAGTTGCTTTTTTGATATGCCTTCCCAGTAACATCCACCCGCTCTCTCTAACCTATGCTAATTTCTTTCACTCATAGTTGTGATATCACTTATTTGTTCTAATGCATTATATAAGTTCCTTATGTACTATGATTATCTCTCTGCTTCAATTTAAACTTCATAAATGCAAGGATGTTCTTTCATTAACTGATATATCTTTGGCAGCCACGAAAGTGTCTGGCACGTAACAGACTCCCAATAAATATTTGTGAGTGCATAAACACAGAAAGAATGAAGTCACCCTGACGTTTAAAGCTGTGGTCGAGCTTTGACAGAATTACAGTGTTCATCATCTTTGCTGTTTTGCAGTGATAGTAGCCCTTCCAAAATCATGAGTGATTACCTTGTAATTGTTATGATCTTGTGCCTTAAGACAAAAAATATTTCCTGGAGATTCATATATAAAACATTTTCAACAATATTTTATACTCAGAAAATAAGTTGGATAACATGGACTACATGTTATAAAAATGTATCTTATCTATTTGATAATTTTTATGCAACAAAAATAGGAAATGATGATCATATAGTTTTTCTTGGCTACCATATCAAAATGGGTGGCATAAAACAATGGACAGTTATTGTCTTATAGCTCCAGAACCTGGAAGTCCAATATTAGAGTGGCTTCTGGGCCAGGATTAGTTTGAAAACTATGGAGGGGAATCCTTTTTTGTTTCTCATTAGCTTTTTGGTGTTCTTGGCTTCTAGCTCAATCACTTTGATTCCTCTTATCTGTGTGTCTTTGTTTTTCAGTGGCGATTTCCTCTTAAATATACAGAAAACAGTCTTATTGGATGTGGGCCCTTCTTAATAACCTCATCCTTGTTCCTTTTCATCATCTAACGTTTGTTTGTGAATTAAGCTGTGTTCACAAGCATTGGTGTCTTAGTCACTATCCTCATCCTGGAGACCAGGAAACCCAGAGAAAGGAGGCGCCAAGAGGGAGTCACACCTCCCCAGGCCATGCCCCAGTGATCCTCCTCTAACCAGGCATACTTCTAATGGCACACTCAGCTACTGAGTACAGCACCCCACCATGACCCAGTCAACTTTCAATGACTCTACCTCTGAGCCCAGGAATTCTGGGGACATTTTACACCACAACTACAACCACTGGGAGTTGAAATGTCATAATTCAGTCCAGAGCAATAAATTTCTTTGTGGACAAACAGGCTTCAAGTGTGGTGGGAACTTGTTTTTGCTTCATTTATCAGTGCAGCTCAAAGGAACTTAGTTACTGATCGTCTTTTGTGAGTCCCCTTCACCAACAGTGAAGTAGCTACTATGCATATTGCTTCCTCACTGTCTATAACACTCTCCTCTGACTTCCCTGGGATAATCAGCTCTTGTCTCCTTCTTCTCCTGGTTGGTTACTCATCATCTGGTTACTCTTTCCTGGACCTTTAAAACTTATTGGTACAGCTCTTTTCTTCTGAAACACTACTCTTAGATTCCCCTTGTTTTGATCCACTGTGTATGAAAATCCTCAGCCCTGGAAACCTCCCCTCATGTGATAATTCTGTTGGGTTCCCAGCATGTACAGGGAAATCATCTAATTTACAGACTTGCATCAGTACGATTTTGCCATGTCTTATTTCAGGTGGCCCTCGAAGCACCCCTGGAGGAGCTCTGTATTTTGCCCCATCAACCTTTCACAAATTTTCTATAGACGCTATCTCAGATCTTTGTCACTTTGTAAAAGTGCATTTTACAATTACTTCTCTTCCTGCTTCCCTTGTCCCCTGTCCCCTCATCATAAAATATCTATTGAACAGTTTATCACAAGCCAAGTCCTTGGCTATGAGCTTGAGTGAATAAGGCCAATTACCGCTTTGTGTATCTTGCCAGAGAAGCTTAATATGCTTTCATGTTTCATTAAGTAAGGCAGAGCAACAAATACGTATTTGCAAAAAAGAACAGGGCACAACACAATGCTCCAAGAAGACATGGGGCTGTGGTGGGCTTCAGACATTGCCTACAAGGCACCCTTGAAAGCTGAGATTTGGAATAGAGGCAAAATCAAGAAGGAAACCTTAGCCTTGAGACACATGGCTGATGTGGTACAATAAAAGTGTGGCCTGCTGAGCCACCGTATGGAGTGTGAGGGATGCTGGGAGGAGGAGGAGGACTGGGGTGTACATGGAAATGAAGATGCATCAGAGGCGAATCCAGCTTCTTTCATTCCTGACAGATAGCATTTACCTTACAAGGCAAACTCATACTGTGAAGAGTGATTTTCTTGTTTGTCTTCCCTACTCATCACCAAGCAAAAACCACAGAAGGCCCATTGTAGCCGCGTGTATATGCCTTCTTTTGTCTCTCTCTTTGTGTCTAAGAGCAGCCTTCCCTTTCCCATATCCCATGTCCACTTTGCTTGGCTTTCAATCCTGGTTCCAGATGAATGTGCTAAACAGCCAGCTGCTCACTCATGGTGTGAACAGTTTACAATGTTTCTTTTAGTCCTCTGAGATAATTATAAATTTTGAAATAATTGGTATTGGAAATCATTGGGAGATTTTTACAGTGTTTCAGTAGATTTTTTTGTTTTGTCCTCACATGATTTGAAGAGGCAATTCACGTGTACCAGTCCCGGTTGTCTGCTTTGGGACAGCTAGAACAGGGAGCCTCTGGCTGCAGGAGGACACTGCAGGAGGCTGCGGAGGACACTGTCCTCCTGTGATCCGTGCGTCGCAGGGTTTGTGGAAGACCAGGACCAAGAGGCAGTGAAAGTGGGCTTCACCTCCGCCTTCAGTGTCCCTCTTCAAGCAGACACGTACTCTCTGTGCCTGCGAGCCTCCCTGCTTCTTTCCTTTTTGACCCCTCTTGTATTAACATCTAGACTGTTCTATATACTAACTCTGCTCTCCATCTATTAGTCATCAGTCTAACCATTTGCCTGGTTTCCTCTAGGTCATTATGAAGAATCAGCAACAATGGTAAACATTCTTCTAAAACTGTTAGCAAGATAGTGTGACCATAGAATAGCTTGGGAAAAACATAATTGGGGAAATGACCATTTGATGAGTTGAGCATTACTCTGTCATTTAAAAATGCTTAATTATTGAGTTAGCATGATACCTGGGGACCCATCACCTTTTGTGTTCCCATTATCAAAATTCTTATTAGAATTTTTTACTTTTTCCCAAGTTTTTCTCATTATTAAGTGCATGGAAAAATTAGAGGTGATAATTTTCTGCTTTTACTCTCTTGGGCTTATCTGTCTGAGCAAATCTGAAATAAATATTTATAAAACAAGTTAATAAAATAATACCATGTCATTTAAAGTTAATATCTATCTGTGTTTTAAAAGGTCATCTAATTCAATGTAGATGAATTTCTCTCTGAACCTGATTGTCTTTGAAGAAGTCTCAAGAGGTGATGAAGTTTCAGAATTGAATTGGAATGCTATTGAGATATTTAACCCAGAACCCACAAGTAGATTTTGACTTATCTTCATTTTTTGGAGATTTTCTAGTCAATGCACTAACCTGAGTTCCTAGAGGATCCAAATAGATATTCTGGAGTTTTGAATTAGGGTGGGTGGGGTGTGAAGGTGGGCAGTGCCCATTTGGGCAGGGAGAATGATCTGGAGATGGCAATTGGGAGCAGATGACAATCAAATTAAGGCCCAGTGAGATGAGAGAGAGGTTTATAAACTAGGGAGAAATTTGATTTGGGAAGAAAAGCCCTGGATTAGGTCAATAAATAAGCTGGTCAAAGTGTTCCCCTTAACTTTAGCGTTGCACTGTCTGTAAGGGTAAATATGATTATTATTGTTACTCATGTGAATTTAGAAAATAGGTATTGATCTTTAAGAATTTGAAAGGGCAATGATATAAACATGGCTTAGAGCTTTGTAACTTTAAAGGGACATCGCCTGAATAATTCTCAGCCATTTCTTGGTAAACTGATGCTTCTCATATTTTACATATATATATGTATATATTTTGGCAGGTTTGGAGAAATTTGTTGGAAGAATGCAAGATTTTCGATTATACCAAGTAGCACTTACAAACAGGTAAATAGAAGTGGCCTTGCAAACTTCATGAAGTGTAAGGATACATTCTGTATTCACTTAAATCATGATTATTTACATTGATGACTACAGTGATGATTACTGCATTTTCACTTTACAGTATTTGGTAAACATCACTTAATTAACAGAGTGTTAGTGTTGGCTTATGCTATGGTTGTTACCAGTACTCCTTATAATATGAAATTAATCAAATTCTTTATGATACATTTTCTCTAAAAAAAATTTGACTTGTGACTCTATTACAGAATTTGGGATACATTTGTTTAAACATTGTATATGAAGTAGTTTTTAATACTGAAATTTCTGCTTTGGTATGTGCCTTTTACAATTGCCTGTTGAGTTTTTAACTACTAGAGAATGAAGTACAATGAAAATGATTACTTTGATATATGAGATCACTCCAAGAGACTGAGCTCTTAGACTTGGAAACAAAAATAATGAACCTTTGATGTATTGTTATCTTTTTTCCTATTTTCAGTCAACAAATAATCTTATAGACTTGTGCTAGCTTTCATGAAAACTTTCTTCATCTTGGGCATAGGCGATACCTTTTTAGGACTTCTGAAACACACACAGCTTTCTCTTCTGCTCGGGGATGTTGAGGTGAAATTCTGGTGAACACAGCCCTTGAAAGTCTTCCTCAGCTTAACATCCTATAGGATGCTCTGGTGTTGTATGGATGAGCCGATCTCATTCAATTCTATTGAAGGTGACCAAGAAGAATGTTCAACTTCTTCAAGGGAGGTACAGATCAGAATGGTGAATTTCCAGATGACAGCACTAGTGCCTGCAGGTGTGGGAAAAGTGGCTGTTGAACTGGCGCTGCGGGCTGTGAGACACCGTCACCTGGAACCTTGCAATTTTTCAGTTGATGTAGTTGAGGGATAACTGAGGAGAGGGCACTGTAACACAGGAGCACTCTTGGGAGGAGTCTGTGTGCCCTCTGCCTTAGTCTCTTTTAGACCACTTTTGGCTAAAGTGTGCGGAAGACCAGTATGGCGATTGTTCTTTGGGAAGGATCAAAGACTGCACATTGGACAGTGACTTTGGGTCTCATTCAAGAGCTGGCATCAATTGAAAAAACATCTATGGGATTTAAAGATGCTGCTCACGTGGCTTGGTGAATGGACCGGCTCCTGAGCCCCTCCATTCCCCTCCTGGGGTTGTCTTTCTAGATGGACCCGAGTTGCTGACGTTGGTCTCCTAAAATGTGTGGCAAGGTAACTCAGATGAATCGACTATAAATAGAATGATTGATCCTGATCTAGAATGGGTACATCACCCGTAATGGAAATATTAAATGTATCTGCCTGGGACTGCTTTCTTCTTTGACTGCTGGCAGGTCCTCTATGATCCAAAGTCACTGAATCATTTCAGGAGGCCAGCAGCTCTGTGGATGAGTCACAGGAAGCCACTGACATGGCCTTGGCTCCAGTCCCTCCTCCTGAGACAGACGTGGAGGAAGTGCTGTGTGATCTCATCTTCTTTCCCACCGGAAACCCTGACTATAAGGCTCACCGGCCCCTCAGTGATAAGTCAGTTTGACCACTGAAGTAAAAGATATGAGCTTCTTCTGAATAATCGCAAAGAGGCACAGTGCATTATTGTATTTAAATAAACACCTTGATAATCCGACAAGGGGTTATGCAAGCTTTTTGACATGAAAAGTTAATACCAAATTGTACTGCTTTTCAGATGCATTTGTATGAGAAAAATGCTTCCTTGGCCAAGAATGAGTTTTATTTTATTTTCTGTTTAGAAAATTATGAAAGATAAATGGTTACTCATCGAAGCATGAGAAGAGCACTGTTCCTCGGTAACAATATTTTGAAACTCTAACTTTTAAGTGATTTGACCTGAGCGTCTCCCTCTTGTCTCTTACAGAGAGATTCTAGAAGTTTTCTCTGGAGATCTGCCCCGCTTGCACATTCAGTCGCACTGTCGGTGCCCCAGCAGTCACCCCCGCATCCACCCTCTGCTACAGCAGTACTGCGTGCCCAACGCAGTCGGAGACACAACCAGGCACAGAATGCTGCGGCTGGACCCTGACGCCCACCCACTTTCTTTCATCAATGATAACAACACTGGTACCTCGTGGATTTCACATGTGTTTACCAACATCACCGAGCTTGATGCAGGAGTGACTATTTCAGTGGACTTGGAAAACGGACAGTACCAGGTAGGCAGGAACAGCAGGCTTACCTCAAATTACTACAGACCTCGTGTTCTAAAGTAACACAGGCAGTTTTTACATAGTTCTGAATATCAGAAATGCAAAATCACCAGGCATGGTAGTGCATGCCTGTCATCCCAGCACTCACGAGGCTGAGGTAGGAGGACTGCCTGGATTCCAAAGTGAGTTCAAAGCAAGCCTGAACTGTATAGCAAGACCCTGTCTCAAAAAGAAAAAAAAGAAAATGCAGCATCAGGGTGCTGATAGCCCTAGACTGCCTCCCGCGTCCTCAAGAAGGGTCTTTGCTTACCTCTTCTTGTATCATTTAGAGTGTGACTTCACCAGGAGGCCGGTGTCTCCATTTTCTCAGGGCCTCTTTCCTTGTGTGGATGTATGTGTGTGTGTGTGTCAGTCTTCTTCTTTTTCTTTTTGTAAACACCTACCCTGTGTGCTTAGCATGTGGAAAGCCTTGGGTTGGATCCCCATTGGTGCAGACAAAGCAAAGCAAAACACCCACAAAAGTGCATTGTCACAGAGCAGAAAAACACCAAAAAATCCCTTTTCTTCATTATTAACATGTATCGGTCAAAAATTCAATATTTGGATTTAGTTTTCTTTTTTATTATATTGATGCCAATTTACCATTTTAGTTTTAAATCTATATTAATTCTGTTAAGTTGTCTTATTCTGCTGTTTTCACAAATTTATACTTTGATTTATAAAATCCTTGAAAAGAGAGATTACTACACAACTAAGAAATGCGGTGCTTGTACGGTAGACCTGTGAAGTTTCCGGATGTTCGTGAATATTTGAGAATTGTAATGACGAGGAAGTGCACCATTATATTGAAATCTAACAGTCATACGCATTGACTATTCTGATGCCTTGTATTTAAGCTTCACTGATGACAATTTTCTGCCCATTTCAGGTGTTTTATGTTGTCATTCAGTTCTCCAGTCCACAACCAACAGCAATAAAGATTCAAAGGAAGAAGGAAGACAGCTTGGATTGGGAGGACTGGCAGTATTTTGCTAGAAATTGTAGCACCTTTGGAATGGAAAACAATGGAGATCTGGAAACGTCTGATTCCGTCAACTGTCTCCAGCTTTCCAGGTATGAACATTTTAAGAACAAACAATATGAACGAACTGATGAAACAGTAGTGAACTATATATTAGACATCTCACTAAGCTGGTAGAGAGCTCTCTCTGTCACCAGCATCCTTGAGGGAGATTTTACAATATCTCTTCTCTAAATTGACTTGTAAACTATGTTTAAAGTTCTAAATATTATTTAGCATATACCTTTAGTTACAGTATTACTGGTGTTTTACAGTTGTACTTTGAGATTCTTTAGCAAGTACGCTCCATTGTAGAAGATTCTTTGTGTTTTCAAGAAAATGATTAGTATGGATGGCTTCCTGTGATGGTCCTGCATTACTTGTCCACATGTGAGATGGGACATATTTATTTTCTCAGAAGAAAGAATCAAAGCTTTGGCTAGTATTGCAATAATGCCTTACTAGGAAATGTGTCCCCAGTCAGGATCAAAAATTTGTGAACTAGAAATTTATAAAGTTGTGATTTTTATTTTGTCAAAAATATCAATAGAGTTTTTTGATATCAAATTGCTTTCATCCATAGGTTTTCCCCATATTCCCGTGGTAATGTCACATTTAGCATCCTGAATCCTGAGCCAAAATGTCGTCCTGGATGCAGTGACTTCTATAATAACCCAGCCCTTCAAGAATTTGTAAAAGCCACGCAAATAAGGCTTCATTTCCACGGGCAGTACCATACCACGGATGCAGGCGTCAACCTTGGACACAGATACTACGCAATAGACGAGATCACCATTGGCGGGAGGTAGAGTTCATTACCGAGATTGAGACTGGAGAATTCTTCACTATAAGTTTTGTTTTTAATGAGATTTCGTCATACTTAAAATGCTGTAAATCTTTAGAGCAAAGTAGAATCTATGCTTTATATTTTTAAATGATTATGTGTACTAATATCTTTTAGGGAGAAGTACATGTAAGTCTTTTCTTCATATTCTATAGCTTTGTTATAGGTGTTCAAAAACTATTTGGTTTCAAGGTTATGACTCCCTGAGGGTTTAAGGGTGTAGCTCGGGGGTAGAGGTGTTGCCTAGAATGTGCAAGATCTTGGGTTCCATCTTTGGCAAACCCTTCATAAAAGTTATGAAACATTACATTTGACTTAGATATAATTTGTCACCTATTGTATACATTTACTTGGATTTTAATGGAATAGAAGGAGCTTGATTTAGAGTTCCAATGAACATACCAGGTATTTTATAGACCAGAGATAAGGCTTGGTCTTCCCAAGTTCCCAGTTCCACAGGGCACACATGTTGTTCTTTGCGCTGTGCCTTTTGTAGTTTACAAACTTTTGATCCTGACTGGGAACAAAGCTCAGGGGTGTAAACCTAGGCAGCAGCTACTGTGGAAATATGCATGCGGAGTGTGGCTGAAGTGAGCTGTGGGTAGAGAACGGTGCACTTGTAAATCTTTATTTTTTTCTCCAAATCCACTTTATTTCAAGTAGAAAAAGAAAGAAGAAGAAAAACACTAAAACAAAATTTCAGAACATGTCAATAGAACATACATTGCACATTGTCATCCCCAAATCATTCACCCAGAGGCACAAGACATGTGCCTTCAATTGTCCAAACAGTATCAGCACAGATCTTTCTCTTCAGTGGCCTCAGAGAAATCAGTACTATGCCTGTCTTAGCTATTTTATGTACACACACATACACATATACATATGTTGTTTCTTTCAGCTTCTCACACTAATGAGACAATGTGATGTTTACATGTGTGTCTTATTTAATTCACTAATGAGTATGGTCTTAATTTTTGTGAATCTTTAAAAACAGACCTGAATACCCTTGGTTTGTTAAGTTATGGCACAGTGATAAAGTAGTACTATCCAAGAATCACCATCTGATTTTGGGGGAAATGAATGAGAGACTGAAATTGGGCTCGGCGTAGCTTTAGTGAGCCCAGTCCCTGGACAACTCAGCCACACCGCTGGGATTGGTGTGCATACGTGCGACTCCCTTCCCAAGGTGGCTTGAAGCTGCCATCACAACCCAGGGTTGTTTAGATGCTGGTAACAGTTCTTCCAGTGCTTCGTGGCTGATCAGATATGTCTGTGAACAAGCCCATGACCCTAGAGAAGCCGACTGTCACGCTGATTACACGTGTTTGTCTCCCTTGCTGGAGCTGCAGGGTGCATATTTTCACAGGGGAGGAAGCAGGTCCATGGTTGACTTGGTGACATTGATGTTCACAGGTGTCAGTGCCATGGTCATGCCAACAGATGTGACACAAGGAGCCAGCCCTACCGGTGCCTCTGTGCCCAGGAAAGCTTCACCCACGGGCTTCATGTGAGTGCTGTTTTATATACGGAAATCTGAAAATCAATCCATTGGTCCATCAGACAGCTTGTATGGATTCAGTGAACTAAACTTTGGTTTCACTCCTGGGTATACATAAAAATAAATGTAAAAGGTCAGTTATTGCAACAAAAAGTTTTGGTAGTGAAAAATGAATGCTACTAATGGAGTAAAAAATAGTGTTTTTAGAAATAATCATAGTCAAAAATGATAGTAGAAATGAAACTCAATAGTTTCTTTTCTCCCTCTTTCTTGGTTTTATAAGCATGATTGTATTTCATAAAACAATATTTAAGTTGTTTGGATAGCCTGATGCTAAATTATAAAAATATTATCTAGTTCCTATATCTAAAAGGTATTGACCTGGCCAGGAACATAGCTCACAGCTCAGCAGCACAGCATCTGCCTGGCAAGCACAAGGTTGCGAGTTCAATTCCTGGTACAAAAAAGAAAAAAAAAAAAAAAAAAAAAAAAAAATATATATATATATATATATATATATATATATAAGGGTTTTTGAATGCAGGGCAAGCTTTATGTTTTTGAGACAACCAAGGTTAACTTATTGCTAAATTCAAGAATTTTATATAATTAATGTGAAAATCTGCAGTAAGATGACTTAAGAGTTATTTTACTTTGATTTGTCTTTAACTGTCTAGGGAAATCTCAGCGTTTAGATGGACACTGTGTGTGTCCATAGGAGTAGCAGGAAAGTGAAAAAACAGTGTGAACCTGACAGACACTGACTGATAGACGTGTTCAGCATAAAGGTCAACACTAGCCATGTCAAAGAGTGTTCAGTGGCGGTAACAGTCGTACAGAGAGTGGACATAGGCAATAAGCAATCTTTAGTTACAGAAGCCCGTGGCAATTGGCTGCTATTTTTTAAGGAAATAGAAGTAAATCCCTATCACCTGGCATGTACAAAAATTAATATGACAGTGGAATAGAAAAGTAATAGTTTATTAAAGATGAGAAAAATATTTTTAAATCCGATGTGAAAGCCTTCAGAAGCCAGACAATGAAATGCAAACAAAGAGAAATATATCAGTAGCAAAGAAGGCTATGGGGGCATTTTGTCGTATGGACATCTAAAATTCTGGATGCCATAAGGCCTAATGTAACCACCACGCGGTGACCAGTGATGGATTGATATTTGTATCATAATAAAAAATAAAGGGTTAGTACCCCCAATACATGAATACATTAGGAAAAAATACAACAATCCAATAAAAAGAGTAAACATGTGAATAAATGATTTTGAAAGGAAAAAAGATAATATTCAAATAACACCTGAAATCCAGCCTAGGTTTTAATAAGAAAAGTAAAAATTGTAATAAAATATTATTTTAAATCTCTTAAATTAGCAAAATGTTTAACAATTGATCACATTAGTAGGACTTGCAAGAATGTAACATTGTGTTTATCATAGATGGCCTGCCAGTTGTCGTGGTATTTTTGGAGCATAAATCAATCAGGTCTGTTAAAATCTGAGTCACAAACACAGGGATCTACATTACGCAATTGCTGCCACTCAACAAAGCAGTTCTCCAGTGATAAGTGTATAGAACAGTTATGTTTATGTTCTTTTGGTTACATGAATATGAGCTTACATGAAATGTGATGAGAAATGACAAATGTTTAAATTTCATCACCCTCCGTCTTGCTTCAAGCGCACTCACCCACCATCCTTGCTGCTTTCTGAAGCAGTCCGGGAAGGTGCCGTTAGTGCTCTTAGTTGCACTGTCTGGCTGCTTTGCTCTCCGGAGTCCACTTCAAACGTTACTTTTCGTGGTCACTTAGACTCCGGGGAGGAGTCAGAAGACCTGTGGTATCAGATTCATGCATAAGATGGGTGAGAATGCAATGTGATGCTTTTATTTGATCTAAATTTCCATAAGTGGCAATGAGAAAATAGGGCAAATGTTTCATTTTTAAAATGTGTTACAGCAACAGGCACATTCTGCAGTAATCAAAAAATCCCGAGATGCTGGCCTCAATTCAAATACATTGACCCCGCCATTGTCGTGTGTGTGTGTGTGTGTGTGTGTGTGTGTGTGTGGTGCTGGGCAGCAAACCCAGGGCCTCGCGTATGCACAGTAAGAGCTCTACCACTGAGCTACTTCCCTAGCGCTTTGGCAATGTGTCTTTTATTGTCATAATCTTAAAAATAACAGGAAAAAAGAATAAAAAGATGATACAGCATTTCAAAACAAAATTATAGGAGATTAATAATGGTTAATATATTGCATATTGTTATCTTCAAAGTAGTTGCTGATTGCAAGATATAAGCATGAAAAATGATCAGATAATGAAAGAACCAACTGTTCTTTTTACTAGTGACTAGTAGTGTAATTATCTATCTTGACTACTTATGAAATCCTTTCCCTTTCTTTTCTCTTTTTCCCCATCCCAGGTGTTCTTTCCTTTGGAATAGTTTCTTCCCCTTTCACTTTCACAGTATCTGTTGTAATTTGGGATCCTATTTACTCTTTCAGTGTCTTATACAAGGGAGACAATAAGATGTTTACACATTCAAGTCTGCTTTATTTCATTTATGAGTATGGTCTCAAATTGCATCCATTTACCGATAAAAGCCTCAAGTTAGAGCTGTAGTATTCCACTGTACAAAATACTACATCTTTAGTTTTTTTTTTAAAAAACTATCCTGCAGTTGATAGGCATTTGGGTTGGTGGGAGTGTAGATTGGTACAACCACCATAGAAATCAGTGTGGAGATTCCCCCAAAAAACTAGGATTGGAGATCTCATTTAACCCAGCTATTCCCCTTATGGGTATTTTCTCAGAAAAATTGAATACATCATACCACAGTGATGTATGTGCCCCCGTGGTTATAGCATTACAGTTTATAATAGCTAAACTCATCCTAAGCTTTTTAATATTTAAATATTCATTGTATCTTTTGATCATTCCTTGTACATAAATGTACTTTAATTTTAGCTTTTCAACAGCAGCACTGTATCATAGTCACTTGTAAGACTTGTGACCTTTTGTACCTACAAGAACTTGTCCTATGCTTATATTTCATTTATTTATTTTTATTTTAAAGAGAAAAAAACACAGAAAAGAAAAACAAGAAGCAAAAGAAACAAACAATAACAACAACAAACCCAAAACAATAACAATATAGGCTTTCAAAACAAGATGGTAGGAATTTCACAATGGTTGTTATATTGCATATTGTTATCTGCAAAAGAATTACTTAGGTTACCAGACATAGACATGCAAAATTGATCTAATCATGTGAATATTAATTGTTCTTTCCTAAGAACTAATAGAATTAGTAGTATTATCATCTTAGCTGTTTGATCTTTCTTTCTAGCTGAGTAGTGCTCCATTGTATTAAAATACCACATCTTTTTTACCCATGCCTCAGTTGATGGGCATTTGGGTCATTTCCATGATTTATCTATTACAAATCATGCTGCTATAAACATAGGTGCACATATTGTGTTTGTGTTTTAACAGATCAATTCATTTCTTTGGGCAGTTTGTTTTGGAATATTACAGAAAAAATCATCTGTTGCTTTTTTGGCAAACTGCGCTTCCGTCCTCTGAGGTCCTTCCCTGATTGGACTTGCTGTTGACTGTAACATGAAAACGTGTGCAGTGTAACAGCAGAACGTGCTCTGAAGTGCAGACTTCTGCTCACACATTCCTGAGGAGGTGTGGCCCCGTTTTCGACTCTACATCACTGATTTGTTTAGGGCTTTCTTTCTTCTCACATGTGCAAACCGAAGCTTTCTCATTCTTTGCTAGCTGTGCAGCTGAATGCATTTTGCTTATCCTGATGTTCATTTTATTTTACTTACACATTTGGTCTCGACTGCGAGTCAATAATTGCTTTTAAAGAAGAAATGTTTTATGTTGTTTTGGATTTCAAATGTCTGATGTCCAACTTAATTTGATGAATATGTCATGAGAAAAACCTTTCAGGAAGACCAGTTTTGCGGTTCACTCTCTTTTTTTGGTTACTGGGACTCAAACTCATGACGTTGCTTTTGCCTGGCAGGCGCTGTGCCACTGAGCTGTATCCATAGCCCACTAGAAGACCAATTTTAATAATTTTGATTATATTGGGACTATATTGCTACAAAAAGGAAATTAATAGAATCAACTCAACCAATTGACTCTTGAGCCATAATTATGCATTTGCATTTTTACCAGTGTGACTGGATCTCCATTTGAAAGTGACATTTACTGTTTTTCCAAGTGTTTTTGGATGGTCCCTTCAGAGGGACTCTTGTTGCCTGACTTGGTAATCAATGATTTCCTTCATTAACTTTGCCCTTCTTTTCCAAACCAGCTAACCACCTAACTAAAAAATGGGATGAATGGGCTGAACTCAAGTGTGTTAGAACAAGCAAGCTACGGTCTAGTGCTTCTGTCTTCTTCTTATGATTTGACCCCTGCTGCTTTCCGGCCGCCAGTCCATCCCAGGCCCCCTTTTCCTCCTGGCCTTCTCTCTCTCCCTCTCGATGTCCTATCTGCTTTGCTTCTTTGTCTCTATTGCTCTCAATGAAGTGTCGGATATTTTATGATTCTTCGGTGATTTCATGCTTCCCCTTAAAAATAGAGGCACTCAGCAAATGGATTGGTTTCTCAAGTCCACTCGGACTTTTTAGACTTGGCCTCAGTGGTGACTGCTGGATTATGAATGGTGAGCTCATTAACTACAGTTGAGGTGGAGAATATATTTTAATGGTTCTTATTTAGACATTAAGTATCTCTGGAAAACAGAAATGAATAAGCAAACATTAGTTATTTAACTCCTTGTCATATTTTGTTAAGTCATGACTTTAGCCATCGATAAAAAAGCAACAGATGCAATTAGCAAAGTTGGGCAAATATGGCAGGAAAAGTCAAAAGATTATTAAGTTGAGTGATGTGTCACTCCCACAATATTTTCAAATGTGTTAAAAATGAAAAATGATCATATAATGGTATTCATAATCATGACAGTCTCATTT